ATTATTACGATGGCTGATAGAGTCAAAATTCTCGTGCAAAAACGGACGTCGTTAAAATCACAAATAACGAATTTGGTCAATATCTTCGACAAGGGAAAGATGGACAATTCCGCATTAAAATTACGAATAACGCGTTTAAGAGAGTTGTATCACGCATACGAGGAATATCACGACGAATTAGTCATATTAGATCCTAACGATGGGCATCATACCGAATTCGCGAATATACAAGATCGTTTTTATTCTCTCGCTGGTAGGGTTGAAAATGTCTTATACACGTCAAATGTTCCGGATACTGGTAGTAACACATCGAGTGATGAAATTCGAGCCAATAATAACACGGGTCTAGTAAATTCGGTCCAGAAACGGCGAATTAAATTACCTGAAGCGTCTTTACCCACGTTTGATGGAAAATATGAAAAATGGTTGTCGTTCAAAAACGCTTTTTATAACATGATAGGATCGCAAACAGATTTATCGGATATAGATAAACTTCATTATTTGAAATCGGCTTTAGTCGGGGAAGCTGCCGCTAAAGTAAGAATTTTTGAAGTAGACGGTATCAATTATTCAAAAGCATGGAATTTACTAGAACGTTCATATGAAGTTAAACGGATTCTTATTTCACGTAACCTTTCTTTAATTCTCAATTTATCACCAATAGATAAAGAAACGACAAATGGTTTATCTAAACTCGCAGACGACATGCAGCAATACGTTGCGTCGTTAAATTCTCTAGGTGTTTCCATCGGTCCCGAAATGATAGTACACATTATTGAAAATAAACTTCCGAGAAACACACTAGAGAAATGGGAGTCGACTCTTGAGAGAGACGAGTTTCCAAAACCAGATCAATTATACGAATTTCTTTATAAAACTGCGGTCTGCGCGTCGAAACGTGAAAGGTCAAAGATTGCTGAAACAGAAAGAAGCGTAGGCGAACCCTCCGCGAAAAGGAAACGAAATGGATTTATAAATCGAACCTTTGTGTTAAATGCATCACGTAATTGTCTAATGTGCAAAACTAAAAACCATCCTCTTTACTTGTGCGACAAATTTAAACAATTAACCGTACGAAAACGCATAGACTTTGTAAAAGGCGCGAAAGTTTGCTACAATTGCTTGCGTACACATCGGGGTGTCGCGTGTAAATTCTCGAATTGCACGATTTGTCAAAAACGACACAATACTCTACTACATCTCGACGATTATGCGACTACAAACAAGTCTAAGTCCGAATCTGTTCAGATAGATTGACTAGACGAAACGACCGACAGAAACACGAATCTCACTACATTACATGCATATACGCCACAACTATTAACGAGCGCACTTGTGTATATCCGTGACCGTGAAAATAAATTAATTAAGTGCCGCGCTTTGCTAGATACATGTGCCACCGCGAATTTTATTTCCGAAGCTATTATAAAACGATTAAATATAAATGTGTTAGCACATTCATTGCCAATCGGTATGATTAATAATATGAACACAGAATCGAAAGGTATAGTGCAAATCAATATACAATCGATACATGATAACTTTAATAAAGCTTTAACATGTTTAACTATTCCAACAATTACGGATTTGATACCTTCCGAGATTTTTCCGCGCAATTTGATTAAAATACCTGCAAATATCCGACTAGCAGATCCGGAATTTTATTTACCACGCTCGGTTGACATATTAATCGGTTCAGGATCGACGTTGTCGTTGCTCGCTATCGGTCAGATAAATTTATCTCGTGAGGGTCACGATATGTATTTACAGAAAACGCGTTTAGGCTGGGTAATCGCTGGCAGTACAAAACCACAAAATTATAAGGCAGCGACATGTTATTTAACAAACTTAGAAAACTTGTTACAGAGATTCTGGTCGGTCGAAGAAGTCGCGACAAATAAATTAAAATCGGCAGAAGATATTGAATGCGAAAATCATTTCGAGAAAACGACATCTCGTGACACACAAGGACGTTATACGGTTCGTTTACCATTTCGTATCACCGACAAGCGTCTTGGCGAATCACGATCTATAGCACTCAGACGTTTACTAGCATTAGAACGTAAACTCCATACCGACAGTACCTTAAAAAACGAGTATACTCGCGTGATAGAAGAATACTTGAAATTAAAACATATGTCTTACATAGAAGATCCTATTGACGATGGCTTCTATATGCCTCATCACGCAGTTGTTAAAGATTCAAGTAGCACAACAAAGGTTCGAATAGTATTTGATGCATCGGCAAACACTAACAACGGTTTTTCTTTAAATGACATGTTAATGACCGGTCCAACAATTCAAAACAAATTAACATCACATTTAATTCGGTTCCGCGCGTACAAATACGTCATCACAGCAGATATAGAAAAAATGTACCGTCAAATATTAATGCACGAAGATGACCGAAAATATCAGCGCATTCTTTGGCGCAGAAACGAAAAAATAGAAACCTTTCAGCTCAACACGGTTACATTCGGTGTTTCCTCCTCGCCTTTCCTAGCAATTCGTACGATACAAAGACTCGCGGATGATGAAATTCTTGCATATCCTAAAGCAGCTAATATTCTCAAAAAACATTTATATGTCGACGACTTATTAACCGGTGCCGAGACAATTAACGAAGCTAGATGTATTAGAGACGAGATAATTAAATTATTATCTCGTGGTGGTTTCTCCATAAGACAATGGGCGTCGAACGAAAAGCAGATAATTAGCGACCTCCCATCTAACGAATTACACACAAATTTCGTGTTAAATGAAAACCGATCTTTAAAAACGTTAGGTTTAGTGTGGAATACATGCGATGATAAAATATATTATTCCGCTCACCCGTTTAAAGACATAGAGAGAATAACGAAACGAAACATCCTATCAGAGATCGCGAAGATTTTCGATCCGTTAGGTTTACTCGGACCAATTATTTTGTATGCTAAAAAAATAATGCAGGACGTATGGCGAAGCGGATTACAATGGGATGAATCGGTCTCACAGAGTATTCACACTGAATGGTTAGAGTTCGCGCGACAATGGCTATTAATAGATCACATTTCTTTCGATCGAAAACTTTTGATAGATAATTGTCACGATATTCAATTTCATGTTTTTTGTGATGCAAGCAATAACGGTTATGGTGCGTGTATATACGTACGCACTGTCGGAAGTCATGAGACAATAAAGACTCATTTATTATGCGCTAAATCGCGAGTGGCGCCTTTAAAAACGTTAACCATTCCGCGACTCGAACTCTGTGGTGCATTATTAGCAGCACGATTATACCAAGAAGTGAACGATGCGTTAGATATTACGCCTGACAAGGTCGTTTTCTGGTGTGATTCGACCATTGTATTACATTGGTTAAAAACACAGCCGCATTTATTGAAAACATACGTAGCAAACCGCGTAATAGCAATACAGGAACTAGCCGGTAGCCATGAATGGCAACACGTAAAA